TATCCTACAACAGGTTAATTGATATTATCTAGTATTGCAGCCGTCACTAAATTTTCAGTGTCAAAGTGTTATGAGACCATGTACCTAAAATGTCGATAATAGCAGTTGATATAGTGGCGCAAAATATTAATATATTCAGCCTCATCAGTTCCTATATTTTGGGAAAGTTGCGATGTGTGTAATCAAGGTGGATGAGATGGGCAGGGCATGTAGAACGAATGGGTGAGAAGAGGAATGCATATAGGATAGTGCTGGTGAAGCCAGAAGGAAAGAGACCACTGGGAAGACCAAGACGTAGGTGGGTGGATAATATTAGAATGGATATTAGATAGAATGGGATAATGTGGATTGGATCGATCTGGCCCAGAATAGGGACCAGTGGAGGGCTCTTCTGAACACGGTAATGAACCTTTGGGTTCCATAATATGCTGGGAATATCTTGAGTAGCTGCACAATTTGCGGCTTCTCAAGAAGGGCTCATCTCCTTGAAGTTAGTCAGTGTGATACCTGTAATTTTGCATCATAGATTGTACACATGAAACAGAAATGTGTGGTAGAGTACAGTATCGATTATTTTGTTTTATTTAAATTTCATTAAATTTACACAAACAGGACGCATTAAGGTATTATCCCACAATTTCTCTGAATGAACTGAGGAAAGAAGTAGAAACATCGGTCAGGAGGCGAGATTTAAACTCGGGATCTCCCAAATACGAAGGAGGAGTGATACCAACTCAAACACTGCGTCCAGTGGAACGTTTGTAAACGATTTATGTTACGTTGTGATGTAATGATTTAGATCAGATGGAAAGTCCGAGAGGAGGGTAAATTTATTACTTTTCATCGGACTGATGGATGTAATTCATGTCTCAACATACACATTCTCCGTACTGCGATTCAAACAAATGGAGAGTTGAGGCTACTAGGACGCTAACATTTATAGACTAATGTTTCAGAACTGCTGAAGCTGTCTGCTTATTTCCTGGTGCCTGCTTTGCATATCGACCTCACCTGTATTCATCCGCATTCAAGAATACCGAATGGTGTTGTCACGTGGTTAGCACTGTTGTTTCGTATTCGGGGAGTTACCTGAGCTCGAATATCCGCCTCGAGTCCGAGTGTTCTGACAGAGTTACAGAGTGTTAGTTGCTTTATTCGCTACCTCCAGGCAATGTTCGAGATTATAGCTTAAAATATACAACATTCTCCTTTCTGATAACTTCCAGTTTATCATCCAACTTTAAACAAGCGTGGTTAGGTAATGCTTATAATCTACTATCCTTAGTTGAGGGTAGAAGTAGGCTTAGTAGATCACCATGCTGTATGCTTGTCACTCATATCTCTAAATCAGATGACCTGTTGTCACAGAATTCGGTGCGCACGTTATGCCGTAAGATGCCACCCAAACCACCGGACTTTCTGTTTGACTACAGTCATCCATACGTACCCTGTGGATGCGCGAACTTGTGAGGTAGAAGCAACAGTATCTATCTATGACTATACAGTCTTTTATGGACCTTGGTCGTTTTTCCAGTTTCTTAATCTATAGACAGTCTGTAGGATTCCATGGACCTACACAGAGAACAACACAAACAGAATAAACGCACACAAAAATCCATGCCTCGAGTGGGATTCGAACTCACGATACCAATGTTCGTGAGGACGAAAACGGTTCATGCATTAGACCGCGCTGCCACTGTGATCGGCTGGAGTACCACTAGCAACACTTAATTTAAAATGTTTTTTAACAGATCTTTTAAAAATATGCAACCTTTGTTAAGGTTTTCTTTTTTTAGAATACGTGTATGAATAACAATACGGGGAGGTGTGAGAATTGTATTTAACTAAGGAATTGATGGATGTAACTAATGAATCTTTAGAGATATGCATGTGAAATTCGAACCGCAGATGGATCATAAACATACTTGCATATACCTTTTCCAGCAATAATAGAATTATCACATATGTATGATATGTTATCTGTAAGTTAAGAATTACAAACATGGCTACTGTGGGGAACTTTGAGATATAGCCGACAAATATATCGTATACAGAATCTGTATTTAAGCCATATAGTCTTCACAGAAAATGAAACGAAACTGCAGTAATAATAGAATAATAGGTTCGCCAGACTGTAAATTCATGCAATAGGAAACTAAGCATCGAAACTCCTCCGTTTCCATGAGGATGGGAACTAAGCTAAACACAGACGACACTGAGTCGAGCGAAATACAAATTCTACGTACAAATAATTGACAAATGAATTCTACGGCTGAAATTTTACTCCAGGCATAATACTATTAAGCCAGATAGTAGTACTGTATTAATCTGAAACCACTGATCCTACCGTAGCATTGGTTATATTGATGATCATGGTGGTAATGATGATAACATAACAATTCAATTCTTTATTATTTATGTGCCGAGTCAATAGCCGCAAGGCCAATTATAGACACAGCACAGTGTAGATCCAGGTAATTACATTACGGACAAACACAACATAAAATCAAAGACTAATTAAAGCACTGGAGGAAAAACACATTAATGCAGAGAAATAAAATAATAATAATAATAATGTTTTCAGTATGACTTGTTTTCTCAAATCGTAGGACATATATATGTGAAGGGCGTGAGTTCCAGCACCCCTCAAGTAACTACCTGTTTACTCAGGGACCTCAAGCTTTCTCCTGAGAATGTGGTGACATCCTCAAATGATTAATAATGAAAGTATAGCAATTAGATGAACAGTGGTAAGGTCTTCGATCTGATTGTGATGAACGTTCATTCGAGAGCCGAGGAAATAATAGGAACTACCAACTTTGATAGTTATTCTCACCTGAACTGAGAAGAACTGTTGGAAGAAATTTTAGATATCCTAATTCTAGTCACAAACATATGATAAAATTCAGATTGACCTAAACTGTATATTAGCTGCGGAAATCTCATGGGCGTAACATGTTATACGAACACAATTCAAAAGTTTCCAAAACAAATTGCAACTGAAGTCGGTGAGAGTCGCAGTTATTGAGAGAGAACTGTTACGTCGATTAAGATGTTAGTAACAAAATCCGAATATAGAAAGTAATATAATTCTTATCCATTTTAACCAGACCCCTCCCCCCCAGATTTTAATGAACGCAAACCTTTATAGATATTGGTTCTAATATTTTAAGTATATGTTCCGATATAACAATGAAAGGGCAGACCAAGGGCTCGATCCTGGCGACTCCTCTGTTTTGGTGACATTAAATATTTCATGGCTCACAACAAGGACCTATCGAACCATTTCAGATTCAGGAGCTCTTAGTGAGATTACAAAATGTTATACCCCATTCAGCATGTCTGAGGCTTCACTTACATGTCTGTCCCCTGTGATAGAAGCAGGAGCCTGGTAAGTATAAACAAATAGCGACTTTTTTTCCCTTGGCACTACAGCCCCAGTGGGCCTAGGCCTACCTCCATGAACTCCGTTCACTTCAGTTTTTCTAGATCTTACACGTTCGGTAGGACTCCTAGGGCGGGTGATCAGCTCGTCGCAAGGCCTCTACCTGGGCACAAACACAGAAAAACGCACACACACAAACTAAACATCCATGCCCTGAGTGGGATTCGAACCCACGATCCCGGTTTCCAATCGAGCGAAGACAGTACATGCCTTAGACCGCTCGGCTACCGTGTCCGGCAAATAGCGACTTTATGTAACTAATTAACTGACCTACCGACATAACACACTAATTAGTTAACTAGTTATAGCTTGTCGATTTTACGTATAACTGTTTTATGTGTGTTATGGAATAGAGGATTGTAGAGGAAGTCTGTTGCCAGGATTCTTCCCTTGAACATCTAAATTCAGGTAGTAATAATTCGTATTACTTCGTGAAACGAAACCTGATTTAGGCTACTGCACATACAGGTTCGAGCTTACAACAGACAAGATTATATATAAACCTACGATCTCCATCTTACAGAACATCCCTTGAGCAGTTGATTGGTTCCCAGACGGTCAAGCGATTTCCTGTCATTATGAATCCGAAATTCGTCACAAGAGTCTATTATATGACGTTGAGTTAGATCATACTTTCTGGGACACATTTCGTAAGATCCATCTTAATATTATCCCTTGTCTGTCTGTCTTTGGAGTGCTTTATGGTGCCTGTTTTTCATGTTTCCTCTTTTCCTTCCCATTTCACTTTCCAGGATATTCTTATCACAAGGAACCAGAAGATGAGGTTGAATTATAAATTGTCTGCGTTAGCCATGAGCTTAATTTCGTTAACTTTTGCTGCAATTCACCTGCTTAGTTGAGAGAGTGTTTAATTAGAAAATTATGAATAATTAAGAGAGACACTCAAAGAATATGCCATGGCCTGCTTTAATATACTGTTTAGGCAAATGCTTGGAGGTACTAAGGAAATTACGTAGGTTATAAGAATAGCCGTTTTTTTCTGCCAAGATTTAAAAGAGGGACTTTCAAGAAACGAAGCAGAAAAGCTAACACTTACACCCCGACATTGGGGTTCATGGTCCAACAGCGTAGATACCATTACTTTTTTGTAAGATGACAAATACCAACCGAAAACATATACGCAGTGATACTTTTGTATAATTTGAAAAATCGTTTAACTTTTCGGATGAAGACGGCATCAGTTTCTGTGCAAAATATTTAAATATACACATTATAATTGATCGATTAGTCTTAGAAAGTTGACAACTGTTTGACAGAGGAGGGCGATGCTGGCGATAAAAAGCGTTTCGTTTCCTGTTGCTTTTGAAGCTCTGTCTGTGAATCCACGGATGAGTTGTGCCGCGGCGATCTGCCACCGCAACGTAACCACAGCAGAGCGTGGCCATTTGGTGCAGAGTACTGAACCTGTGGTGGGGGAGACTGGGACTCAATTAGGGGAGAGTATATAAAACGAATCGTCCCCCGCCCAGCGGTCACATTGTTCGGCATCAACACACCGGCAAGGAATCTGATTGATGTATTTTCTTTTTTTTTTTATTATAGAATTTCCCTTTCACTTGATTTGTTTCGGTTTGATTTAGAGAAACTTTGTTTCTAGAGAAATAAATTAGATTGCCCGAACGTCCTGAGGCGTAGAGAGTGGAGAAGAGGAGGCGTCAGTATCACCATGCTTCTCTTTGGAAGTATACACTTACCGGTAAGTAACGGCGTGGAGTAGAATTATATAGCACTTGAATTTAGAGAAAAGCGATTGAAAACAATCTTCTTAAACGGTGTATTGCAGGATGAAAGGAAACCCGACTTCATGAATTCTATAAGAAAGTTGAAACCATTACTGTATGAATGTACCACGGGCTAACGGATTCATGTAATTATAAATTAATAATTTTCAAATAAATTTTATGTCGATGAAGAAAGCAGTCTTTTGGGATTTCGCACCCTGTATATGTGGTGTTAACCGACGTTTCAGAGGAACGTATCGCCTCCATACGTTCCTCCGAAACGTCGGTTACACCACATATACACGGTGCCAAATCCCAAAAGACTGCTTTCTTCATAGTCACCGCCGTGAAAGCCTCAAATCTTACAAATTTTATGTCATTTTCCTGATACTGTTTTCTCTGTAACGTATTTTCTAAACTAATTCCGACGTTTACTAAACAAAATATACGTGTAAGTGTGAGGAAAACCCTGTAGTAAAACAAATAAAGGAAAGAAAGAACCCAAATATGTCAGGCACAGATTTTAGAGTAACTAGTTGCACACTGTATATGTGCAAAGCTAAGGTAAACAGAAACAGATAAACACCTCGCTTAATTTCATCTCATGGAGCAAGAAGTGTTAACAATATCAAAGTCATTTGACCTACAACAGCCATCAGTAATTTTGCACTAAAATATGTTAAGCTTTAAAAGGGCGAAGTTAGGCCAAATAATGTTTAAATATTTACAAAGAAAACGGCCCATATTTACGTTGAAATCATTAATCACTTGTGTTTCAGAAAAGCAGTCGTTGATTATTCAGAGGAACAAACTTTATACGCATACACTGGGTCTTGAAATGGAGTTATTCGATGTTAAAGCACGTGGAACACAGTGTTTGGTATGTTGTAGTTGAACAGTTAGAACTACACCAGTGGTAATTTCGGTTTGAAATGACGTGCAGTAGACATCTCGCTGTTGCCACAAATATTCTTCGAATTATTCTTCAAAGTAGCTCTTTATTATTGATATAACATGCGTTTAGCAGTAGGGGGAAATATAAGCTCTGTTACCCCTTTAATTTAATAAATTATTCTAAATAACATTTAAAGATTAATTTTGTACCTCACAGGAAGCACACTGCATCACCATAATAAAGATGAACTAACTAATGTTGTTTAGGGAACCAATCGCTGTTTATTCTGAGAATCATACGAAACACACAAACTGTGTGGGCAAAATTCGGAAATGTTTAATTTTAATTAGTAGGTAGTACACAACGACCATTGGACTTTAAAGGGCTAAGGAAGACGTTCTCACCTTAAACGGATTAGATTCTTCGTTGCCTGTTCGGTGCCAGAATTTGCTTCTTCCGCGACGGATGTTACTTGTCTGAATAAAAGATGCGTGTGCGCTTCATATGAAATGCAAGGTGGCTACAGTTATTTATTTGTTGAAAATATGTTTTCAAAGAACTGTATGTCGTACAGCAGTAGGTCTCTATCGGAAATGCCCCAAGCTCTCTCTATCTTCTGTGCGAGACGTTCCGGACGAAGGGAAAATATGAAGACCATTCCAAGCATTGCACTAGTGGCGCCTCGGCATAGATGGGAGGATGATATTAAAATGGACCAAAAGTAGTACACCTCTGTCTAGTGAAGATGTCAGTAATGATAGATCTATACCTGCACTCGTGTGTTTTCGTGGCGCGATGCGTAATTAAATAAGCCAAAGAAAAACTTATTATTCTTTTTTACTTTAAAACACTCTGTGACAATGTGGACTGTACTGGCTCAGGATATGGTCCAGTGGTGTGCTCTGTGTAAGAGGCTTAGGCATTTTGACGAGCTGAGCCACTAGTAGTCTCCTGAAAAAAGGACATTGCTTTCAGAGTTGGTTCCAAGCCTTGCGCATCAGTTTACTGGGATGTTGTATAATCCAAAGAAAATGTTTGAAGTGATAAGGTCGGGTCGCCTGGCATCTTGTGAACGTTCCATAAACATGAGACCGAAACACATTCTCTGAGAGAGGGAGACGCCTGAGTTGCGATGCTGACCAAACTGGGGCATGAGGGAATGTATGAATATTTTATTTGTGATGGTAACGGAGGAAAAGGGTTAGCAGGCAGCATACGCAATCGAAAGGATGCGGATGGACAACCAGAAAATCGTCGCGTCTCCTATGCGGAGACCTGTAACATGACACATTGTTTTAGGCATTAGCGAAATCCTAGGTACGGCCTGGGGTTCGGTTCTCGGTAGGGGCATAGATTTGTCTTCGTCACTGAGGCTCATCCAGCCTCACGTTTAGTGGGAAAATTTGACTATTTTCAGTTGGGGTTAAAGCGGGTAGGCCTGAAGCTGGACACTCACCTTCATCTAATGCAGATGTTAAAATGTATGGAGATATACCTCCACTCTCTCTTACGTCTTCTTGACATGGTGCTTAATTAAGCGAAACCCTGAAATTGTCGAGTAGATTTTAAGATGTATCACGTTTATGAACTGCAAGGTGAGCGTTCAGGTGTGTTCCTTCTCAGAGCGATCTTCCCGTCTTCAGGATCAGCCTACATATCTATATCCTGCAGGCTATTTCTCAATTATTTGATTTGTGTTGTTTTGTTGACTATGAAGAATGTCATCTTCTGGGATGTAGCGCCGGGTGGCTACAGTCACCTGCTCAAGCTCGTTCCTCGCTCGCGGATTTTTCTGCCCTGAAGATGGAGGTGATAAGTTCCTCCGAAACGGCGGTTCACACAAGATTTACACGGCGCCATATCCCAGAAGACGGCATTCTTCAACTTTTTCTCTACGAGAGTGCCGTAGGCACTTAGACACAGAGGCAAATAGCATTATAAAATTAAGCTCTTTGAAAGAAAATTTCGGATTTTCGACCTAAATTTTTGCGTTCACACAAACTGACCACTTCATTATTATACTTATTTTTGTTGCATTATTTGACGGTTGTTAATGGTTCATCTTTAATTAACTTTGCCCGATAACGGCGCTTTACGAATTCAGTAAATTATATTTCCCAATACTACAACTTTCCCAATTCAGCCTAATGTACACCTGCGTTTGTTTCATCAACTGTACCATGCATAATGGATATTATAATTACACAAAACATTCAGAAATGACATCAAGAAAATGTCTGTTTACTGATTTGATATTAACTTGGAATAAGGCCACGTCATAGCTCAAGCGGTTAGCCGCTGGCTTCCCACCTCGGCGGCCCGGGTTCGATCCCGAGTCTGGTCAAGTGGGATTTGTGGTGGACAAAGTGGCGCTGGAGCAGGTTTTCTCCGAGTACTTCGGTTTCCCCTGCCAGTCTTCATTCCACCAATTGCTCCACAATCACCCTCACCTATCATCTGGGGCTGGTACAATAGGCCAGAAGTGGCCGCAGTGCAAGGGACTTAGTCCCACCCCACTAGCAATAAAAAAAAACTTGGAATGACCTACTAGGATCAAACGTATTGACAGTTATACTAGATGCAAACACACATACGTGTATAATGTGCTAAATCGAATAGGCTGTTCGAGCGTACCTGAGAGAGAGAGAGAGAGAGAGAGAGAGAGGGAGAGAGAGAGAGGACAAATATTCACCCTCAGGTATTTATTGTCTAGTGTCTTGCAAGAGCACAGTAAACAGGTGTTCACCACAGTGATGGCAATCACAAAGGAAACACATCTCATTTACCTTCATTCACATGCATTCATGTCAGTGACGATAGCTTACATTGTGTAGGTGAAGATGTAGCATCTCACCTGGAAAGCGATTTACTTGGTGTGGCTGAAGCGAGGAGCCTGTTAGAACCAGATCTCAACGCTGACGATCTATCCTCTTCGACTAGAAGACCTAGCTAACCGTGCTGCAGATAAGAAAGGAAATCTTATCCAGATGTCGCCAGAACTCAGACTGTCATCCAATTAGAAACGATTGTCATGAATGCCAAGCATCTTATGTTTGAATAAATAGTTCACGGTATAAGCCTGTCGCATGTATGTATAATACTTCAGTATTACATAGACTTCCGGTCTTGCAAATTTTGTGTTTTTAATGTTAAACTATATGTTTAGGTAATAATAGTTCATAATCTAACAATGCAATTACATTTATTTCATGGGTTTGCGTAGAGACAATCTTATTCGAGTCGAAATTTGTTATTCTAATTACAAATATATTACAAATTCTTCTTTTTATTTTTATTATTACTATTATTATTATTATTGTTATTAATTTGTATCTTGAGAAGAGCTTACTAAGTCAGATTTATTCTGTAATAAATTTATGGATTATATAACCTCAGCGGTTCGTATGTTCGGCGTGTTGATAACGTTTTGCTTACAAATAATATTGTGTACAGAAGTTCTAGGAATGCTCGTGCACAGTTGCATTCTCTAAGTTTTAATGCTCCATTACTTATCGTTGGCTTATTAAGGCTGCTGTAGAAACGACTAAAACTGCACGACACTGATGACTGTGAAGGAGAAATATGCACAGCATAGTAATGTTCGCCAAAACTCACGATTATTAATTTATTTAAGAACAATTTTTCAGCTCAGTAACTTGAAGAGCTTCGGCAGAGAGAATAGTTGTGATTCATTGACTGGGATCCGTGTGGAACAGAGCCATTATCTTGGCTTGATCCTGGGGAGAGAGAAGGTAATCACAGAACGACTAATTAGAATATCCAGCCTTCGGTCTGAGGTTCGATGTACGTCCACCTGGATACCAATCACTCAGCCACGGCTTTCAGATACTAATACATTCAGTAAAATAAGAGTCGATTGCAGGTCATAGTTCCGAAAAGAGAGGTGGTTGTATTCGCACCTGTCACCTTCAATCCCAGCGTTTCTTTTAAGGGCGACAGAAGTTATGAAACGTCAAATCGCATTCGGGTCAGAAAGTAATGTGGAAAGAACTTAGGGAAATCATAGACTTCGTAAGATTTGAGGCTTTCACGGCGGTGACTATGAAGAAAGCAGTCTTC